GGTTCGGAGCGGATCGATGGGAGAGAGGGCGGGGTCGGGATCGCGAGGGACGGGGAGGTCCGAAAGGGGGAAAGGAATTGGGATCGGGGCAGGGGAGGTAGAGGTAGGGATTGAGGGAGGAGGGGGAGGTTCGAAGGGAGGAGAGGAATTGGGATCGGGGCGGGGGAGGTCAGGATCGAAGTATTGAAGTCGGGATCGGGAAGTACGGATGGAGGGGATGGGAGCAAAGTTGGGAGCGGAGCGAAAGATGGGGGGGTCGGGTTCGGATCAACGGGAGGGGGAACTTTGTTGCGGGAGGTGGGAGCGGGATCGCAAAGCATGGGGGAGGAGGGGGAGGTCTGGAGCAGATCTGGGGGAAAGGGGAGGTTCGACGGAAGAGAGGGCGGGGTCGGCATCGCTAGAGACGGACACATGGATGCGAGTCGGGATTGGGGGAGAAGGGGGAGATCCGAAGAAGGGAGAGGAATTGGGATCGGGCCAGGGGAGCTTGGGATCAGAGTATTGAAGTCGGGATTGGGAAGTCGGGATAGAGGGGATGGGGGCAAACTTGGAATTGGGGCGAAAGATGGGCGGGTCGGGATTGGGATAGGAGGGGGAGATATCGACATCGGGGGGGGGATCGGGAAGTCGGGATGAAGGGGACGGGGGCAAAGTTGGCATCGGGGCGAAAGATGGGGACGTCGGGATTGGGAGAGGAGGGGGAGGTATGGACATCGGGGAGAGGACGAGGTTCCGTGTGGGAGGCGAGAGTGTTGAGATTGCAAAGGATGGAGACGTCGACGGGGCAGCTTCGGTGGGAAAGTATTTTTTTTTTTTCAATTACAATTATTTCTGACCCCTTTGATCGGCGGTCAGATACGAACGTTCCGGTGAATAGGGAGCTGAATAGGGAATAGTGGGCGTCAAGCCGTCAGCACGACTCAGCCGCCGTGACCCGCCGTTTCCTGGCGTGACCCGGCGTGACCCGCTGTCAGCTGTCTTGTCAATGAGGCAAAGAAGGCGAAAGGCGGCAGAGAAGAGACGATAGGGGAGAAAGAGAGAAGAGGAGTCGGAGGAGCTGTGTGGGGGAGGGGAGCTGGAGGGGGAGGGGGAGGGGGAGGCCCGTGTGGAGTCGGAAGAGGTTCTGGGCGTCGCTCCGCTACATAGCATACTCAATGTATATGGACGTCACAGAGAACGGATACCTTCGCAATGTTTGATCAGTCTCAATGTATCTGGTCTAATTTGCAGTTCCGTACTCTTCAAATGTGAAGTAGCGGAAGGAGGCCCTCTGTCTGTGCGGAAGGGGGAAACGTGGAGGTGGAGCCCGCAGAGAAAAAAAAAAAATGTTGATGTCCTGTACGTCCAGCCAGACGAGTGCGATCCTAGAGTCTTGAGTATGGCCCAAGTGTCCTCACGTGGGCGGCATGCCACTGTCGCAGATGGGCCCCTTCATGTAGGAGGAGGAGGAAGGGAGGAGGAGGAGGAAAGAGGGAGGAAGAGAAAGGAAGGAGGAGGGAGGAGGAAGGAGGAGAAGGGAAGAAGAAGAGTGGGGAGATTAAACAAACCGGAGGAGAAGGTGCAAGAAGAGAGGTAAAGCAAATGATAAATGGAGACACGCACGTGCCTTCATTCTGCAGCATCAGTCGCCGTTGGATCATCCTTAACTTTCCGCCGGGTAATGTCTCTACGGCCATGACCTCTTAAGTCCTGCCTCTTTTTTTACTGTTTTTATTTTTATTTTTTATTTTTTTTGATGGAGAAGAAGAAGAAGACGGAGAAGAAACAGCGGCCATAGACTATTTCTCACACATGCTTCAACAACCAATCATGACATCAGATTCTCCGCATGCATCGGCCTCCCGCTTCTTCCTCCTACCTCCTGGTCTGCCGTGAGCGGAGCCGCGGCGGGTCCCCTTGTTCCACATAAAATGTGCTTCGTTAATTTTGACTCCTTTTCCTCCCCCTTGTGTGGACATGCAGGAACTGGGCCCTTTATTGACTTACCGTGAGGGCACGGGTGTGCAGCCCGTAGTTCGTTTGTTGATGTGGTTCGGGAAGGGTAAGGTAGTGATTATGCTGTATGTATGTTTTGTTATGTTCGCTATACACAACTCGAAGAGAGTGTGTGTGGGGTCCCGGTTGGTGCTTTATTCACAATGTTCATGGGACGCTGGGGACCCAGTTTCCAGCAGTTGGCGCTCCCCATTAATAGACAGGAGAATGTGTGTGCGTGTGTATGTGTGTGTG